ACCGTACCCAGGCCTATGGACGGATACATTCACTTGTTGTGTGCAGGTACCCAGACAGCATTCAGGGCGGGAGAAATACAGTTTCTGGCCGATCTGGGCCCTCATTCATATCGAGATCTGGACGGTGCAGGACCTCAGTACCCGGGGTCCAGACCCCGCATCCACGCTATTTAAGAGTTGACTTCCTGGCTGGAGAACATTCAGTCTTGCGTGAATGCTGACTTCGCGCGTGGACTTGACGTTGTTGCTACGCTGCGACATTGCGACATTGGCTTGATGCCGGCTATATGCTGGCAGAGGAGGATAGCAAGGCGCTGCTGGCTGGCAAGGTGTTGGCTGGCGATGGTCTTCTGGGCATGCTGACGTGGCAGCTGCCACGCGCCGTTGCTAACGTGGCCGCTGCCACCTGTATATGATTGACGACGTGGCTGGCTGCGAGGTTGATGAGGCTGTTCTGATTCTTCGTCACTTCGGAAGGAGATCAAGACTGTGGTTATCGAGGATACGTACCTGGTTGATGACGATACTCTCCATTTGCTGATGTAGACAGATTGACGTGCCACGTGGCACCTTGAGGAGGAACTTCAGACATTGCATTCAGTCTATTGATTGATGAGGTGGCGAGGAGGAGGAGGAATCCGAAGTAGAAGTGGGCTGTTGTCTTCTTCTCTCTCCTTTGTCTATTCTCCCTCTCTCCTCCTTCGTCTGTGTATGATTCTCACCTCATTCTATCATCACACATATTACGATTGTTTGTCATTTCATATGCAGCTCGATAATCATAGGGACTGGTAATGTTGACGAGTATCATCACGTCTGGGCTCATTGCACATTATTAAAAATGGGGATTAATACTCATATCACAGAGAAAGAGGTGTTAGCTTGTTGTAAACCTTTAGTAGCTTCTAGTAACTACGACCCAAGCTCCCTAGCATATTTACAAGGACTAGGATCTTATTTTACTCTCTCATCAGTAGATAGAAATCCAGCAGAAACGGTAATTATGTGCCCTGCAATGTACGCAAGAGGGACGCAGGATGCTTTTTGGGGAAGCGACAGTTTCCGAACAGAATGGAGAACGGAAGTTAAAGCTCTGGTTAAATGCGAGAGGCGCTATAAGAGAGCGGGTCTGGAAAAGCTAGGGAAATGGGAAGGATCGGGGAAATTTGGACGAGCGTACATAATTCCTAAAAATAAGGACCTATGTAAGTTTCGCCCCATTAGCCCGTCTTTCTCGGAACCCTAAAAAACTGCCAGTAGCAGAGTGGCCCGCGCGCTTAACCACCTTCTTTTCCTACTGTCAAGAAGTGTGCAGTTTAATCTGAAGTCAACAAATATGCTGCTGCGGAGGATTACAAAGGTAAACAACTGGGCTGAGAAGAGAAAGAAAGGTAGTTTGTTGAGCGCCTCCTTTGATATCAAAGAGATGTTCAGTCGACTACCCCATAATTCTATCATGGAAGCGCTTGACTGGATACTAAATCACTACGCAGGTAAAGGGAAAAGCAGACTGACGATTAAAAAAAGAGGGAAAGGAACATCGTTCTCGCTGAAGAACGGATCTGATAGCTGGCTGATCATTGGCTTTCAGGAAATTCTCAATATGATCAACTTCGAACTTCAGAATACATATGTCGTGGCTGCGGACCGACTTATTAGACAAGAAGTTGGCATTCCTATGGGCAAGAGCACAAGCCCACCTTTGGCTTGTATACTCTGTGCCTTAACGAATACAACTTCCTGTCTAGTCTGGGATCGGACAGGAAATTGGTAAAAGGGATTCGACTAATGGATGACGTTTCTCTTTTCATCTGGAGCGATGGAAAAATGAATAATCGTAGGGCGTTGGACATTATTGCTCGGTTTTCAACGGCCGATGACAAAGCATTAACACTGGAACGAATAGACAAAGGAGAAGGGGAATGGGAATTCCTTGGGACAAAGGTAAGAGTGTAAAAAGGGAAAAAAGTGACGACCCAGCTCCTCCAGAGAAATCTGAAGGAAATCTGGGATGATGGCGTACTTACCTTCAGGACAATCCAAGATTTTAACTCGTACTCGGCTGTTTCACAGAAAAAAGCGGTAATTACTTGCTGCCTGCATAGGATCTACCAGATGACATCTGACGTACAACTGACTGGCCTAGGACTTCTCACCTTAAAAAGACTCCTAAGACTGCAGACTTACCCAGGTAAATACTTCAATGAATACCTGAGTAAGTTCATTAGGAAACGAGCGCCCTCATGAAACGAGTGGGGCAGGAAATTCTGCGGGTGGTAGGTCCGGATGAACAGGCTTAATAACATCTGATTGGTGACTCGGATTTTGTACAGCGAGGAGATTGTCTGTAATTTCATGCAGCGATAAGCGGGCAGATAGTTCTACTTCGACGCATTTGCTGTTATGTCCACTACCGCTTCCAAGGAGTTACTGGACGGACGTGTGGAACTGTGATATCCTCTCAGATACTCGGGCTTGGACTTTCGGACTTGGAAATTGAAACTACACAGGCTCTTCCCGGGACCTGCCTGACGTGATTGCGAATACGACAAACTTTCGTCGGACCTACATGAGCTATGAGATAGCTGGGCTGTTTATCTACGATCTCTCCCGTGGAAAATCGTTTTGAACTTGGAACTACGGAGGCTTCGGATTTCGCTCGATTTATTTCATATACGACAAAAAAATTCTGTCGTTTTAGGTTTTGGGATTTGAGCTCAGATTTCGGAACTGGACTTAACGTGTTCGGAGATTGAGGCAAAGGGACTTGGAATTCTGGAACAGGAAACACACGTACCTGGTACCGATGAGCTGATCCTGCATGGAAAAGAGAAACGATATTAGTATTTATCCACAGAGTAGGTCCTACCAAACATCTCGGAGTTAATGTTTTTCCCTCCTGATGAGGCTGGCCTTGGCTCCAGCCGAAACCGGTCGAGGGTAGCCAGACTGCCGTCCGCCCGCGGGCGGTAGGTTGCCATAGCTTGACTATGGCGATACTCTTGTAGAGTAATACTCTTGTGTTTCTTCTTCCTATCTGCATAGAGTAATACTCTTGAGTTTCTTCTTCCTATTTGAAAGAGTATCTTAATTCCGAGCTTTTTCACATTTTGGCATGTCGTCTTGTACGCTACGTGCCTGTGTTTGTGTACTGCCGATTCAGCCCGTGCTGACGTCGGTGCTCTCGCTCTCCACTCCAAAAAAGACTTTGGACGAATTTACGATGGGAGACGACTTGCTGTTTCTTGAAAAGGCAGGGAATAAAAGATTGTGTGTTCCCAGTTGTGAGTCTTTGCGTAGTTTATTTTTAGGAGAATGCCATGATGCAACTGGACATTTTGGATATAAAAAGACATCTGCAAACTTAGTACAGAAATTTCGGTGGCCCTCTATGATGTTAGATGCCCAAAAGTATGTAGAAACTTGTCAGGTTTGCCAACGCGACAAACCAAGAACTCACGCTCCGCTTGGGCTTCTCCAACCCTTGCCGATTCTTGAAGGTCCTGGCAAGAGTGTTTCCATGGACTTCATGGATACTCTTGTCACCAGCAGGTCTGGGAAAAGACACGTCTTCATCATAGTAGGCGGCTTCTCCAAGTTTGCAAGAATTATCGCTATGCCCGAATCCGCAAAGACTGACCATGTCATCAAACTCTTCATGGATAACTGGGTACGCGACTTCGGTCTACCTACGCCTATAGTTAGTGACAGGGATGTAAGATTTACAAGCGAACTTTGGAAGTCAATTGCTGAGCAGACCAAGCTCCAAATGACGTCAGGGAATCATCCTGAGTCAAATGGACAGGCAGAACAGATGAACCGAGTAGTACAACACTTGCTTAGACACTATATCAAGCGAAGTCAGGATGACTGGGACGAGAAACTACCTCTCGTCTCTCGTCAGCAGCCTCTATAATAACGTTGTGCATAGTACTACATGTATGTCTCCCAACCAACTGCATTTTGGTTGGAAGCCCAGAGCTGCGCTGGATTTCCTGCTACTGGAAAGTCAACTCACGGCAGGCAGCATAGAATTCGCTGTCCAGTATGATTAGATGCTGCAACAGGCCGTTGAACATATCAAGAGATCTCAAGAAGCTATGATTGGATCTGAGAATAAGCACAAACGACCCTCAAACTTTCAGGTAGGTCATAGAGTCTAGGTCAAAGCATCTGAACTTGGCCAAGAGCTGGGTATAGTCCGTAAATTAAGGCCACAGTACTTCGGACCATGGGAGGTACTAGATGTGATTGGGGATCAGATAGATGGACCCTCCTATGTGATCCGCATCCCACCTCGTTTACGTACATACCCTGTTTTCCATGCCTCCAAGTTGGCACCTTTCGCTGCAACAGAGCAGTTTCTTTCAAGAAGATCAATGCTGCCCCCATTCATGGATGGCGAGGTGGACATCGAACAGATCGTGCATCGAATGATGCCTGTTCCTCAACCATCAGGTAGAGGGTGCCCTCCTAAACCAAGAATGCAGTATCGTGTGAGTTTCAAACATCATCTCGATCCTAAGGAAGATCGCTGGTTCACACGAGAAGAACTTCTGAGAACAGCACCTCAAGTGATAGCAGGCTATGAAAGAGAACGGAAAGGGAAGATACCTGCAAAATAAGAGACTTCTCAGAGGACTAACGAAGTAAAGGAGGAAGGAATCCGAGGATCTGAGTCCTCGGCATGCCGAAGTGGCCCCGGTTACAGTGGTGCCCGCCCTAAGTGAAGGCGGGCCTAACATTTCACAAGAGGCCCTTGACTGTCAATTTCATATTTGGGGTACAGGCAGTTGCGACGCGCCAGTTGGTTGAGAGAAACACATGCCGAGCAACCAAGACATTTCCACGGCCTCCTGGGCCTTTCCAATGCGTGCAGGCCCTGGACGAGAAACGCAGCCCCATACACTGACAATTGGGAGGCCCAACCAACAGAGGCCCAGTAGCTGCAAAGTRGCACGCAACATCCTGGGGCCTACCGGAAACTTCTGGGCCCAGGCCAAGTCCTGCCAGGCTGCGAAGCAGGCAGGCTCTTTCCATATAGGAAAGAGCTCGCCACTTTCAGCCTCATTCAGGCACTCGCGTGCTAGCGGCAGCGCTGCTAGAGCAAATGCTCGTGGGCTGCTGCTGGCGCTGAGAGGCGTGGTGCAGCACGTGCGGTCATGCAAGGGAAGCAGGGCGCTGCTGAGGGCAGCGCCATAGCCCAGCCACCATAGCTGGTGGGCTTGGACTACAGTGAGGCGCATGAGTGGTTTTCGGGTGTAAGGGAGACAAACGTGGGGGTAAAGTCAGGGAAGGGCGAAGGATGATGATGATGATGATGTGAGGGCACATACCTTGTATTGGCGATGGTCTGCAAGTGGGCGACATCTTCAAGTACTTCGGGTTGCTGCTGATGTCAACAGTTGCATTCCCTATTAGGCTATTAGTAGGCTGATTGTAGCTGTGTAGGAGTAGGCTGGGCGCTGAGCGCCAAGTAGGAGTGTGAAGGGACTGGACTCTTGGGTTGTGGCGGAGAGAGAAAGCTCTCCTTGACATTGGCTTTCAGTACTACGAACCTCCATTGGTGTATTACTGGTGCAATGCTGCTCTCTGGACAAAGTGTGACTATCTGGCTTTCGATGTGATGGTGTAATCTGGAATTTGTCATCTCGCTGTTGCTTATTTTCCTTGCACCTTTTCGAAATTATAAAATTTTACCCCGAATGTAAATTCGAATAAATTTCGTCAGAATTTATTTTTCTCGGAATTAATTATTCTTTTTCTTCATTTGGAAATTCCTGAAAATTTGCTTTCGTATTTTCTTGAAAAATACACTCGCGGATTAATTTCGAATAAATTCAAATTAATTTATTCAAAATTAATTCTTGTTCTCCCACAACCTCGCAGGCGAGCAAACACCAGCACCCGATGTCACCATCGACCTCGCGGCTCTTTTCCGCATGATGACATCTCTCCAATCATCCATGGACGACATCAAAACATCCATTTCCACCATCTCTGCTCGCGTGACCACCATTGAAACTCACACCCCCGCCATCCAGGTCGTCAGCACCACATCCCCCCCCCTCACCTCGGGTGCCACCACCCTTCCCCCATCCTCCGCCTCCACGTCTACACCAATCACCTTGTCCTCCACATCCACCCCCCTCTCTGCTAGCATATCATCCACACCTCCACCTTCATCCACCACTACCTCCACCTTGGTCACCAAGACAACAACCCCCGCCGTCACACAGTCATCAACCATTCCCTCCCAGTCAAAACCCCTCATGACTGCATCCACTATCACGTCCACCCATACCCAGATCACCCCCACACCTCAAGCCCTGCTACCCGTTATCCCAACACCTCCGTCCACACTCCTCCCGACCAATCCCACTACCGACTTCACCCTAGTACCGTCCTCCTCACCCAAACTTGATTTCAACACCCTCGCCACCACAACACCATCAACGGGTAACATTCCCCCATCCTTCCGGTCAACAGATATCCCCCCCTTCACCGGCCTTCCCCAAAAGGACGTCTTCGTCTTTCTCAACAAACTATTCGACGCCTTCTCCCTCCACAACGTCCCTGTCACACACTGGCTCCCTATTGCCAGCACCAGGCTACACGAAGGCGCCGCTCGTTGGTGGTACACTGAACGAGCTAACCGCCAACACGCAAACGAGGAACCCCATTCCTTCCTTCAATGGGCCAATCTCATCACCTGCACATTCCGACCACAAAAGACGGTCGATGACTACTTTAAGCAATTACGCCGTCTTCGACAGAACGGCCCGACCGACCACTTTGTCCAATACGTCCATGCGTTGCGGCAACACATCCCCCTTGACTACGTCAGCGATGCCGCATTCTATCTCCCGCTTCAAGCGGGGATGCCGCAAGGACCTAGCTGCCTCCCTCGTCCACGACCCCCCAATGTCCCTCTCCAATCTCCTCAACCGCGCCATTCACCTAGACAAATTCCTCACCCCGTACAGGGATGCACTCACATCCGCCCCACCCCGCCCACGATTCTTTCATAACATCGCCGACGAAACCTCTCTCTCTGCCTCCTCGAACGAGTTCTCTGCCCCCGACCTCGACATCCTCTCCGACCCACTAGACACCACATCACTCTCCTCTGACGAACTCTCCGCCATTCACCTCATGCGAATGGAAAAGAAAGAACGCTCCAGCCATCCTCCCATGAACACCCACCCAACCCGTCTCACGAAACTCACGCCGGAGGAGCGAACCTACCTCCAAGCCAAGGGTGGTTGTTTCCGGTGCCGACAGTTAGGACATCTACAAACAAACTGTCCAAATGCCGGACAGTTCACAGGTCACGCACCCAGGTCTGKSGCCCCCCGACCCGCCACCTCCGCATCCGCCACTCTCGGTCCCTCCTCCTCATGAACACCATCCCTAGTATCACCATGAACCCGTCCCGGCACCGACGACTAATCTGTCGGCCATCCCATCGGTGACGATCTCCACCCCACCGGTGACCCATTTGGCATCGACAATACATCTGCATCCCCCCTCTCCAGTGCCGCACATCCCACCGGATGACCCCCAAGTGTCGCAACCCTCGTCGCCTGACGCCCCCCTCACCACCACATGTTCCGCAACCCTCCTTCCAAATCCATCCTCTGTCACCTTCTCTGACGTTGTTGAGGAACAAGCCCAACTCGATCGGCTTGTCCAATTAGGCAATGAACAACGCCGCCTCAACACCATTATCTCCACCGCCAGCTCATCACCCTTTCACCTCAAATTCATCACCGCCACCCTTGGTGCGTCTACGACTAAGTTTCGGGCCCTCCTCGACATTGGAGCCACTGGTAACTTCATCACCGACGCGTGTGTCAGGAAAGCCGGTCTTACCTCTACCGGTTACGACTCCCCGATTACGATTCGTTTAGGGGACAAAGACACCGCCGTCGTCGTAGACAGCACGTTTCCCGAGACCACCATGACTGTCAAAACCCTCCACAGTCAGGTCTCATTCGATGTGATGCACTTAATGTGCGACATCATTTTGGGAACATCGTGGCTGGACTGCTACATGCCATACTCTTTCCACTTCATCCGCCTTACCAACCGCATCGACATTCCCTATCTCCCCTATCCCCCCTCCCCAAGCTCCGTCATCGCGCACCAATTCCTTCACATGGCTCGTACGTATCCCAACTCCACCTACTATTGCCTTGTCCTTGATCGCGAGCGTTCGGAGGTCTTGCTTTCAACGGACAAACCCGACCAAGCCCCCCCTTCCAACCCCGCCCTCACCTCCATCCTCGACAAGTTCAAGGACATCTTCCCCGAGTCCTTACCCGTCGGATTACCTCCGGATCGTGGTGTGTCTTACACCATCGATTTGGAGCTCGGTCACTCCACCTTGCTGCCCTCCGTACCAACTCTCCGCTCCAAAAGCCGAAGAAATGAAGCGGCAACTCAATGAACTCCTTGAAAAAGGATTCATTAAGCCAAGTTCATCTCCCTTCGGCACAAGCTGCCTTTTCGTCAAGAAAGGCGGAACATCGGAACTCCGAATGTGCACAGACTACCGCGCCTTGAATCGGATCACGATCAAGAACAAATACCCCCTACCTCGGATCTCCGAGCTTCTTGATCGCTCCGTGGAGCCAAATATTTTACCAAAATTGACCTCCGCAGTGACTCTCACTAGATCCGCATCTGCGAGGAGGACACCCACAAGACCGCATTCCATTCTCGATTTGGGCACTACGAGTTCCTTGTGATGCCCTTCGGACTCACCAACGCCCCCGCCACATTCCAATCCACCATGAACCACATCTTTCGCGACCTCCTCGAAGTCTGCGTCGTTGTTTACCTCGATGATATCCTTGTCTATAGCCCCACTTTCGAGTCCCACCTTCAGCTCTTCCAGCTCAACCTCAATCTGATGGTAGCCGGATTTTAGATCAATCTTCGAAAAGATTTTGCAACCCTGCACGCCATCCAGCAAATCGTCTATTCGCGGTAATGGTTCGGCATTCTTTACGGTTATATAATTTAATCTCCTATAGTCTATACACATGCGAGCGCCGCCATCTTTCTTAGGCACAAAGAGCACAGGCGCACCATAGGGCGAGGAGCTAGGTCTTATCCAACCATTTTTCAGCAACTCATCGAGTTGGGTTCGCAATTCATCCAATTCTTGGGGCGACATACGATAGATAGGCCCCTTCGAGGGTGCGCTCCTTGGAATGATATCAATGCGGTGGCGGATTGGTCTTTCCACCACACCGCTTAGGGCTTTAGCCACATCTGCGAACTCTTTCAGGATCCTCTCAATTTCTTGGGACCTGACTTCTTCTTTAGCTTCCCCTTCCTTTACTGGGCGCACATATGCAACAAAGACTTGATCGTACAAGGTATGTTTCTTAACATGGCGAGCGAACGCTGGGGCACTCATACAACAGTGAGCTAGGCTGCTTTCCTTTCCAGATTCATGATAGAGGCGGATTTTCTTCTTACCTCCTTGCGGACTTGGAAGCCAACATTCATGTTCCCTTAACTTTAGATCCGCATGTGCAGCCTCACCCCAATCCATTCCTAACAACACATCAAAGGGCAAGTTATCCTCCACCAAGAAGGTCAGAGAGTGGAGAACGCGTTCCACCTTCCCCTCTGCCTCTAGCCGAAAGTATACTTGTACCCCCTCAACGTATCGATCCATAATGGTTTCGCTACTATTAGCTAGCTTACTTACAATGGACTCATTTAACTTCTTAACCTTAAGCCCAAGACACAATTTTTGCAAACCCTTCTTACTAATGTAACTGCGTGTAGAACCACTGTCTATCATACCTCCTACTCTGACTCGATTTATTTCAAGATCTGCAAGTATTAGTTGTCCTTTTTTCTTTCGCATTTCAGTCCACGCTTGGCGACGAGCGGCCAACTCATCACCCATGCCGGCGAGGGATCCATCTAGAGAGATGCATACATTTGCCACCTCTGGACAGTGCACTAGATGGGGACTTCCTTCCTCTTCAGTTTCTGCCATTGGGGCCTTCGAATGGGAGGATTCTGATTTTTCAACATTTGAAGCCCCGGTAGAGGCAACTAGCACCTCTACTGGCTGTTCCCTTTTGCCCCCCTATAGTCAGGGCAATAAGGGACAATGTGGTCGGGGTCCCCACATTTGAGGCATTGATCTGCCTTCTTCCTTTCGGCCCAGACTTTTCGGTAATTCCCAACTCTTTCCAAGGCTCTCCTTCCGGTAGGCCTGGATGTGGTGGGTATGGCTTATCCCACTTGTTGTACCATGAGCCTCTTCCTCTACCCCAGGTGGAGTAAGAACCCACGGCCACCGTATGACGGACCATTTCCCCTTCCTCCCACGTAGTGGCATTCTTCACCACCACCCCTCTGGGTGCCGAATCCTTGTCCACCACGGCCGCGACCTCTTCCTCGGCCACGCCCTCCCCCGCGGGCTGCAACAACCGCATAACTCCCCTCCAGAGCTACCGGTCTGTTGGGTTCATCGAGACCATAATCTACCTGATCCCAGGAGATGGTCTCGGCGCCTCCTTCTTCAAAGGTTAGAAGGAGACCGTCTTTCCCAGGTATAGACCCTGAGATGGTGCGGTTTTGCCATCTCTTACCCGCTTGCAGATCCTTCCAGTAATGGCAATAATTTGCTTCAGCGAGGAAGCCGACGTGATCTATGGTGATCTTGCCGAACTTCTCATATGTCATCTCCTCTTCCTTGGTACGGGGATAGAGTTGTGTCCTTAGGGGATCCGGGAGCGCTCGTGCAAAGCTGTTCAAGATTTGGGCCGACGTCAATCCGTGATCAGGGCATTGCAATAGTTCATCCATAGTTGCCTTTAGTGCAGAGGTACTCTTCCATTTCCTGTTAGGAAGGCTGAGGATCAACATTTTTGTGCGTCTTGCCAAGTTCTTGTCCTCAAATCTCTCTCTTATCGTTTTAAGGAAATCCTCAATACGGGTCTGTTGTGAATACTCTACCATAGAGCTGCATCCCGCCTCTTTTTGCAGCGAGATGGCGAAGCTCATGGCGTCGCCTCCCATGCACGAGGTTGCCATCAATACCCTGTCCCAGTATGGAATTCGTTGTCCATACACATAAGTTTCAATTGTCGCCGCCCAGTGCAACACACTCTCTTCTTTCTTTCCAGTGTAGTTCCATGGCAGTTTAAGCTTAATCTTGTTAGTCTGTCCGGGTTCCTGGGAAGGTTGACCCTTTGAATCCTCAATCTTCTTCTTTCCTTTCTTGTCATCATCGCCGTCGCCATCTCCATCTCCTCCGTCGCCTCCAACTCCCTTTACAATCTTCTCTACGACCTCTGGGGTGAAGACTTTATTAATATGTTCGTCCAAAGCCTGGATGTAAGTTTGCACATGTTGGTCAACGTCCTTTGCTGACTTTTCTACGAAGTTATTCCATACATTCTCAAATTCAACCCGATTTGTTTCTACACGTTGCAAGGTCTGCCGCATTAAGTCCATGTCTTGCCTCGTGTTGAGGACGGCCTCCCTGAGGAGTGCAAGTTGTGCTTCAGTTGCAGAGGGGTTTTCCTTTTGCGCTTCTAGAGCTTTCTGCAATTTATCCCCTTCTGCCTGCAATCTTTTCTTTTCTTCCACCTCTTGCCGTCTAGCGGCCAACAGCCTGCGATTTAGCTCAGCCCGTTTCTCTTCCAACATCGAGTTTCGTTCAACGGTGTCTTTAATAGTGGCCAACTTGGCGATGAACGTATCTCAGTCTTCATCAGATTCTTTTAACGGCTCGCTGGAGTAGTAGTACTGGCTTCCCCAGTTCAACGGTTCAACGGGAAGGCGGGTCGTGGTACTGCTTTCCGATATGTCTTGGCGACGACGTCTTTCCAACACTTCTCCTTCTTCTTGTTCTTCTTCTTCTTCTTCTTCTTCTATACTTTTCAATTCTTCTTCTAACTCCCTGTCCATTTTCTCTTTCGTTTTCTTTCTTGCTTCTTCTTCTTTCTGTTTTTTCTTTGCTTCCTTTTCTTTTTTCTTTTCTGCTAGCCTGCGGTCAATTTCGGCTTGCTCCGCAGGTGTGGGGCCAGGCTTCACTGTCCCTGACCGCATCAGCATGCGGGACGTGCACACACGTCCGAACCCCAGTGGGAACATCAGCCTGAACAGGGGCCCCAATTATACAGTAAGGGCCAACAGGCCCTGGATGGGATAGTCATCCATGATGACTGCCGGCACAGGAGATCCTCCGCCGGGTCACCAAGGTACGATCCCACTTACAGACTTGGTCTTGACTTGCGGTAATGGAGTACTTATACCTTCCCTTTCCCCTTTTTTTTTTTTGTTTAACGGTAGAAGTTGCTGCGTACAATCAACAATAGATCAAACTACAATGAACTTGAATATGTCTTTTTTTTGATGTGCTGCGTGGCCTCCTGGATCGAACGTTTGGTAATGTGTTCCCGTTGTCTTCTCTCTTTTTTTTTTTTTTTTTTTTTTTTGGTACTAACTTGCTGGGTGTCTGATGCAGGTATGGAGTACAGCGCAGATTCAGATGGTTCAGTTATCCAACCAGGCAGAGATACTTCGTATACCCTGTTCTTTCTTTCGGGCTCAACAGGCCCTGTAGATACTCAATATCATCCTTATACTGCCTGGTACATGCTATCTGATGTGGCACATTGCCACTCCCCACATCGATCCTTGGTTCTTGATGACGATACCCAGCCTGCCAATTAAGAGAGATAGGAGAGAGACCTACTCCTATTCGCAGAATGCTGGACCACCTACTTTAGTGAGACCAGTCCCTGACACATCACCCTTGGGTCATCAGACTCTGACGGCTCAGACCTGACAGCTATGACACCCCAGATCCAGACTTCGACTCCTGACCAGATCAGCAGCAGTCACCTTCAGAGGGTCAGAGAGAGAGAAGGTAGGGGACACACACATGCATGCAGGTTCAGGGAAAAGGAGGTGCTTCTCTCTTCTTGAAGATACCGCCGATGGTGCTCCACGACGCTCCGCACACTCCAGGTAAGTAGACTTTGCCACTTCTTCTTCGGCCTGCTTCCCCCACTATCAACAATCTTCTTCTCCTCCTCCCTCCTTCGGTATTCCTCGATCACCACTTCTTCGCGCCGGCCTGGATCAGACCAACGCTATGAGAGTAGCGAGCATCTGCTCCGATACCAAATTTGCATGGGTCCTGGGGACCCTTTCACGCAAGTGTGTACATGTCATGCATCATCCTCACACACCACGATCAATAGTCTCAAGTCATAGACAAAGGTAGATGAGAAGAGGACCGAGTTTCACAGCTTATATTATCAGAAATATGAATACAAAGTGTTTCAAAGTTCCCCTGAGTCCAGCGCTCATCAGCGCAACACCAATCTCTTGTCAATTCATCAATATGACTTCCACTGAATCAGCGCTACTCCTGCAGATAGTCTCCAAGTCATCAATGTGGACACTACTCATCAGCAACACCTCTGCAGGTCACATCCAACTCAGGTAAGTATCTTCCATAGCCGAACCTTGAATGAACACTCCCCGCCTCAGTCCCTTCCTCCTACGATGCATACACACTCTTCACTCATGAGGATCTACTCTGAATACTACTCATAGCTACATGCTAACCCACTACTACTAATACWAACTCGCTGGGCAGCTATGGCTGCATCACTTCCAGCGTACAGGCTTCTTCCTCCCTCCTTCAGCGCATCTTCTACCTCCAGCGCTGCTCCTCCTGACTCAGCGCACAAGTGCACCAGCACTTCCACKCATTGCAGCCAGTGGAGATCTGGCGAGGAATGAGGCAGGCAGCTTCCTTTATAGTGCTGGCCACTCCTCGCTGGGTCTGCATTGGCTCAATTCGGCCYGTCCTTTGTCCCAGACCCTGCATTGCATRTGTCCCAGTATAGTCCCAATGAAGTTCAACTGCTGCTRAGGCCTCTTGGCCAGGATTTGGACTTGAAAGTCTGGATCTGGACTGACCCCTTGACTTAGACCAAAACTGGRACTGTGCCTATTGACTTTACTTTCGGACAGGCACAACTCTAACGAACAGACACATTCACTGCTTGAACAGACACTTYCCTTTGCACGAACAGGTACACTGCCTGCACGTACAGACACATTCTTACCCGAACAGACATGACATACACAACTCCTGGTGAACAGGTAAGTCTTTTGACAATGCCCTTGGCCTTAGATTTAGATGTGCCTGCTGGTAGAGAACTTGACTTTTGACCCGCTTTCACGTTTCTGAGCCCTGGCGAGATACCTTTTCACAATGCTTTACTTTTACAAGGTCTGTGCTGCGTTACTTTTACAAGGCCTGAGGCCTATTTCAGGTAAAGGCCCTTTTAGTAGGGAGGATGGACTGGAGGTCTCAAAATGAATTGCGCATAAACCAGAGGGGAGGGTGGGAAGGGAGGAAGGGAGGGGGAGTTTTAATTGGGGTCTCAAGATGCTGCCAACAAAACATATGTGTGTGTGTGTGTGTGTGTGTGTGTGTGTGTGTGTGTGTGTGAGAGAGAGAGAGAGAGAGAGGCAGAGAGAGAGAGCAAGAGAGAGAGAGAGAGAGAGAGAGAGAGAGAGAGAGAGAGAGAGAGAGAGAGAGAGAGAGAGAGAGAGACGGGTGAGCGGGTGGAGGACCAGGCATGGGCAAAACGGTGTGAATGGAGGGATGGCGACTTACGATTGTTTAACAAGCTTGTTCAACGCAAGAATTGCGACCTGAGGACAAAAGCATCAACGAAGCAGAACTCAATTGACACTTCAATAGAGATTCATATCTGATTCGAAAACAGCATAATCAGCGGGCGCCTGCAAAGTGTCATCGTATCAAGACCAAACTTGGCCTGTTTATTTATATCCAACTTCCCAACAACATCCCTTCAACAGAACCCCACAATTGGTGAGTCAGAGGCGGGGTTATGCCCATGGCTGATAACCTTCAGAGAAAAAGATGAAGCCAAGTACTTGCGGAGAGACAGATGGGAAGAAGACAAGGAAAAAAAGAGCAGCCGAGGCGCAAATTACATTCTTAACTACTAGATGTAGTTCTGACACAGGTAGAAGACCATGAACTCTGGAGTTGCCCCTGACCCTCAGCCATTGCGACCAAATGATTCTCTCTGTCTTCCCTCTTCTATTGTCTCTCTCTTTCTTTTGCTCCTCTCCTTTCTCCTTCCCTATCACCTGCCGCCCCCAAGTTCGACTATGGCTGGCCTTTCCTTCTATTCACTCAAATATGTTATGCACCCTTTTACTCCGTTTGCATGAGCAGCTCATACTTGCAGGTTTATATTATTGAATTTTACCGTAATGACCTGCCAAAAGACAGACTGAGAACACTGCTGATTTCTGGGTTTTGCCGCTGTAATGTATGCCTTGATGAGATTCCCGAGTTGTGCTGAGTTTTCTAAGTCTGTGTGTGTGTGAGCGTGCTTGCTGGTCCATTTGCCTGTCTGAGTGCACGTCTGCCTGAGTGTGTGTGTGGCCTGACAGGGCACTTGTGTTTTGTGAGGCCCGCAGCGTGCCCGTGACTTTGAGGGTTGCAGCGGGGAAAACACTCAAGCAGTGGGGGTAGGGAAGCGGGGGAAAAACAACCAAGTAGCAGGTAGATGTGTCGGGAACTGGAGGCCAAGCAGAAGAAGACAAAAAGTTGGCATTTTCAGAGGCCCAGTAGCGGTAGGCTAAAGGTAAGCGGGTACCAGTCCAAGTAGCCTGAGTCTAGGGCCTGTGCGGACAATATCAGAGCCTGCAATGATGTTTCCCTCCGAAAGGGGGGAGATACGGTTGCTTGGACACCGCGCGGCCTGGAAGTCACCGCCCAAGAGGCAAGTAGGCCGCTTTATCTCCAGGTAGAGTGCTGGACTCTACCTCATTTGCGGTATGCAAGTTCGGGCATCATGCTGCTTGAGCGGGCGATGGTTCTCATAGCACTGCCTGGGAGGAAGGATGAGAGCTGGGCGCTCTGCCTGGCTATGGCGAGCAGCCCAGCTTGAGGAGGAGGAAGAAGGGGGCAAGGGAGGAGAGTGGCAAGGTACCTACCTGGCTATGGTGGACACCATCTTCATCACCTTGTTATGGAAGGCCCCAGTTGGGGTAGTGCCGCACCAAAGAAGCTTCGGGGCAGAGTCAGGCATGACGTCCTGAAAAGCAGCAGCCATAGCTGCTTTGTGTTGTCTTTTGCACAGGAGGGCAGAGCCCTTAGTAGTCCGCCATAGCCTAGGCCTGTGTGAGGAAGAAGGAGAGGCAGGCCATGGCTATGGTGGACCTCTTGTTAAGCTGGCAGTAAGAGGGAACTTTGGATATTGATTCTGGTTCAACCACTCATTGTTATTATTACTAATTGGGAGAAAATAAGATTGGCGGAGACGAGGAGGAGGAAAGTGGAGAAAGAAGAGGAATTTGTCATTGGTCTTGCTGGTGTACATCATCTTCTTCTTCTTCTTCTTCTTCTTCTTCTTCTTCTTCTTCTTTCTTTCTTCTTCCTTCTTCTTCTTGGGTCTCTACCCCTTTGCAAGTCCTTTCATTTCTTTGCAATCGGGTGGCATTGTCTTTCCTTGTGAATTTGCACTTCAGAAGTAACCAGGATCGTAACATGACTCTCAAAACCACACATAAGCACACCAACACTGACGTTCAAGGACCAAAAGAGAATTAGCAGGCACGGGCATAGAGATCGAGGAGTCAGTGCCCACCACATGTATTGATCCCCTTCACTTTCTCCACCTCCACTTCAGTTGAGGGAGGGCGAGCGGGAGATGGGTGTGACGAATGAACATGTTCCATGTGGGCCTTGACAGGGTCAACGCAATATGCAATGAATCTTTATTGGTACTAGATGACCTGTTCCGGCTTCGCTCGCAAAAACAAACGCGACAGGTGACGCAGAAAATCTGGAGGCAAACGACGGATACAAACTCTCTCTCTCTCTCTCTCTCTCTCTCTCTCTCTCTCTCTCTCTCTCTCTGAGAGGAAGTAAAAAGATTGATCTGACATTTGATGAATTGATTGATTCAATTCAGTTTTGATTTTACGTTTCTCTCTCTCTCTCTCTCTCTCTCTCTCTCTCTCTCTCTCTCTC